CAGTGGACTATCATGCTCATGTTTAGCATCAGTGTTTACTGAGGTCACTATCTGATTCAGCACTTGAGCATGCTAATGTTTGTTAATTAGCACAAAACAAGACGTAAAAGTGATTTCGATGGAATGTCAGCAGTTTTTGGTATTCTAGGTATTTATTCATAAAAAAAAAAAGTTCTTGACAAATAAAACATTTTAAATTAAAAGATTGGAAGCTAACATTATTTGACAATCAAGTTTTAATTGATCCCAAAGGTAAAATGAACGTGTCTACCAAATTTCATGGCATTCTATCCCATAGGTGTCTATATATGGCATTTAAAACCATATTTGGCCCGACGAGAAATGTCAAGGGACAACCAAAACCAGAAGGATTCATCCTCTCACAACTATGAACATCTGTACAAAAGTTAATTAAAATCCAACCAACAGATGCTTAGAAATTTTTACAACATAAATGGAACTTTTACTTGCTGGAGGCACCAAAACATAAATGATGGGATGACTAAAAATATCAGGGCTCATCTTCTAGGGGGTCACAAATTTTATGTACAACATTTCATGGCAATGAGTCCAACAGTTAAACTAACAAATATGAATGACAGCCCAGTGATGGCCCCAAAGGAAAGGTCAGAGGGTTGCCAAAATCAGCTGGATGAATTGTCCGGGGACCCCGAATATCCCCAGAACATTTGATCACAATGCAGACCGTACATGTTGAGATACTTCAGTCTGATCCAAAGGGGTGAACATACTGACATTGCCACCCATGAAGCCGTAAACACTCAGATACTGACTGCTCCAAGATATAAAAAGAGAAAGAACACATTGGTAAGTTTCCTCTTTTGGTTTTGCATTACCTTAAGCTCAAGGTCGACATATTTGCATACCTGGAAACACTGTTTAGGCACGAACATGGGTCACTGCAAGAGAAAGCACAGATTGTTGAAATCAGACTTGCAGACCTGCAGGTGCTGATACTGGTCCAACTCTCTCAGTCTTTCTCAAGGAAGAAGAATGAGGAGTAATTTAGTGGCATTCCAGAGCGATAGATAAGGAGTGAGGAGTACTTGTTTATTACTGCAGCCAAAGCCGAGGACAGTATGTTTTCTCCCGTATTAAAATCACCAGGGGCTCAAGACACCAGAGAGTGTTTTCAAAGGGGCAAAGCTGGGAGCTCTCACTGTGCAATTAGAGTCAGGGACAGATGGCATGAGGCCAGTTTGTCCTACAAATTAATTTTGGTTGGCGACAGTACAATGCAGGCTTGTGTTGCACCAAAGTAAAGTGCAGAAAGTGTTAAAGAAACGCTGCAGATTTAGGAAAGTGTATTGAGTCCAATGCAAATGTAAGGCAAATGAGAGGCAAGACACGGACGGGATAGTGAAGGGGAGGCTGTGCGGACTCTTCCATCAGAGGGAGGATTGTCTCTGCGAGTGTGCCAAAGCAAGTTCATGGCGTTCCGCTCGGTTGCTTCATCTCGGCTGCTGGGTTTCCAGAGCAGGTGGTTTAGAGAGCTGGTTGCAGGACTTTGCCCTTTGGAATGCAACTGCCATTAAGTGATTCAAACTGTACCCCGACTGGCTGATGTGCCAGCGCTGTCAGCTTCCTCATTTCCGTGTCGTTTCAGCAGATGGCTATTAAATAATCCACCTGCCTCATCTGCACGCCATGAGGCTGGGAGGAGCCGTCGCACGGTGGCGTCAGGTCTGACAGCAAGAGGACAAACTGGTGCTGGTTTTTGCTCTTGCAGTCAAGTTGCTTTGGTTTTAGGTGTGTGAATGTGTGTGTGTGTGTATGTGTGTGTGTGCAGCCAAGGCTGGATGAGTGTGTCGTCTTGCAGCAGGCCTTATTTGGCTCGTGTTTGACCAGTTACCTCCTCTCGAGTCCCAGAGGAGCTCTTGTTTCCGTCTGGCCTTGTAGGGCCATCCTCCTTCTGACACACACCCACCGACAGCTCATTGGACCACAGTTTCACACACGGAATCACATCTATAGAGACAGATACAAAAGAAAGAAGAACACACAGAGTTAAACACGCACTTCTATCCATTCTGTCGCATTTTCTGTGCGTTTGTGTTCAAGTTTCCCAGTGGCATGACTTAAAAGTGCACTTTGAAAGAGGTGAGATCCCATAGGATGTCGCCGTGTCATTCTTTAAACGTTTCATTTCCTTTTTGAGTTGTCGAGTTGGTTCTTTGCATCCTTTTAGATGAAAAGCTTCTTGTTTTGCATCTAGCAGGATAGACGATTTTTAGAAGTGTCACAAATGCTTAAGGTGTTCGCAACCGATTATCCTTGTGTGGCACAGAGCCGCAAGTCAGAAATGATCACATCTGCATGAAAGAAGCAACTTTTATGTGTGATCTTTCTGTAGTTGCTGTGCCTGTGTACAGGTTATTGTATACAGATGCCTCATTTATTCTTATGTAGAAGAAATGATGGGAGTCCAGCCTGGAAGTTGCTGTTTTCCACATTATCTGGCTTCTTTTATGCAGATAAAACTCATTCTGCGCCTGCTTAGCCTTGCCCAAGTTCACCGTCTTTGATACTCATGCATCTCTTCACTCTCTTACTAACTTAGTAACAGAGCGGCCGGTGATCTCTGTGGTGCCATTTCTGCCTGATGACAGTGTGCCGAGGCCCTTATGTTTCCTCATACGGCTGAAGCGAACACGTGGCTAACCGACAGCTTCCCCCTCTGTCCTTCTGTCACGCAGATTAAAAAGCAGCAGCAGGATGTGATGGGCTTCCTGGCAGCCAATAAGATCGAGTTCGAGGAGTGCGACATCGCGGCCAACGAGGTCAACAGGAAGTGGATGAGGGAGAATATTCCGGAGGAGTCCAGGCCGGCCACGGGGAACCCTCTGCCCCCACAGATATTCAATGAAAGCAAATATTGCGGGGTGAGACGCTTGCACTGAATTATTAGCATCCGATTGTTCCTGCAGCTACAGTGATCAGATGGCTCCCACTGAGAACATCCAGGCCACATCTGGATGCTGAAAAAGCGCACATATGCTCTGCGATATTTTCATTTTACCAGCTGACAGGTGTAGCCTGAGTGCGGCTGCTTGCACTAACAGAGAACCATCACTTGACTCAACAGTTCACCTCAGCTATACAGAGCGATCGAGTTTCTTTTAGCTCATTGTTTTGTGGTAGCAGCAGGTAGCAGCTTTCAGTGAAACAGTCTCCATCAACTCACAGCAGCAGACAAACAAGACCAGAGTAGAAAAACCAGTAATAGGAAAGTAATATCACACATGAAATATTGCACCTAAAAGATGCAATAATGCACATGGTATTGGGCGAGTATTTCTACCTTGAAACTGCAGTGTGCTGATGCGAGTATTAAAATGCAGATTCAGACCTCCAAGGCTTTATAACAAACCTAAGAAACCAATCAGTTTGCAGGGTGGAGCTTTATGCATCAGCATTCTTTCTCAGAATTGAAGGACTGCTTCCAACATGAATGACTCCAATATTACAGCTTGCCATTGTGGTTTTACAGAGCTTGAGCAGAGTCGCAGGTGTGCTCGAGCTGCAGTGAGTTGGGATGGGTGGGTGGAGAGAGATGAGGACTTCATCAGATGAGATAAAGCTTTTGATAGATATCGCTCAGAAAACAAAATTACTAGCAGAAAATAAATAAGATACAAGTACGATATATTACTGAAAATACAATAAGTAAACTAAAATAAGGCTGGAATAGAAAAAAAAGGATAGTCTTTGCCATTATAAGGTAGGAAGGGATATTTTTAATGCAAAAAAACTTCTAAATGAATCATACAGATGATGCACAGAGGTGAGTTTTTGTGGGTTTAATCGATGACTAGACGGACTCTAGGAGCTGTTTAATTTGTTCCGGAGTTGGTGGAGACCCGAGCTAATAATAGCGTGAATATTCAGACCTACATTCATCAAGTGACCAGAGACACAGCTCTAAATAAATGCTAATTTTGGTCTGTGTTTGAAGAATGTGTCACCATTCAGCTATGTTAAGGCCGTAATCTGTCTCCGTTGCTCTCAAATGGCCAAAAAAAATCTACTAAGTTTCAACAATCACTGAATTCAATTGAAATATGAGAGATTTATCCAGAAATGCATGCTGGTAGTGTGCAGAAGGCAAATATACACAAAACCATTGTTATTATCTGTGAGTTAAATAAGAAGCTGGAGCCAGAAGTTGGTTGGTTTAGTTGAGCATAAAGTCTGTTAACGGGGACACACAGCTAACCCGTCTCAGTATGTATGTTTTGGGGTTTTTTTCCCTCTCTGCTTCCATTTTTTTGTGCTTAACTTTCTACTTTTTATTATACTGTATTGATCCCACAAGGGCCTTAACCGCTGAGCCTCCACTGCCCTCTGTGGTGAACGCAGCTTAAGTTAACTGTCGCCGTGCTCCGGTTTCATATTGAAGTCAATCTGCTCTTGATCTTCTCATCTAACTCTCAGCAGAAAGTCAATAATCGCATTTCTTCAAATTCCAAACTGTTCCCTTAAACCATCATGTGTGCAGATTAAATTTACGGATCGGAAATACAAAAATGAAATCAGGAAAAAGAGAAAAAATAATCACAGCCTTTTTCAAGAGTAATGGGCTTTGGGGGAATTCAGGAATTTGGACTCATGACCTCTAATACCCTGGTCACGTCCCTGCTCAGATATACTCAACCGAACCCTATAGCAACCCCTACAGATGCCAGTTTGCTCCCTCTACAAACACACAGGACCCTAACAGGCGTGCACTGTGGCATCACGCTGTGCAGCTAATGGACGGCTGGAAGTGAGGTTGCACATGCAGGATGGGCTGTATTGAATGTCACAGACAAAGAGCGAGCACCATTTCCCAGGATACTTGCAGCTGTAGGGAGGTTTTTCTTTTTTCTTTTGGGCAAAAATCTGTTTGTGTGTGTGGGAGAGAGAAAAAAAAAAAGGAGGGAACACAAAGGAATGAGAGGGATAAAGCATGTGAGACAGTAAATGGGTGAATGCGTTAGCTTGTTTACTCTGGCTCGCATTCTCCGAGACAATGCCCTCCTATCAGATTGACTACCGAGGCCCGTCCTTGGACAAATAACACAACCTCGACTGTTTTCTCGCTGCTGCTGCTGCTGCTCAGATTGTCGCTCCGGGGCGCCGATCCAGAATCTGTTTCACATTATCATTCCTCAGGATGGGGGTAAAGGTTTAGGTGAGCTGATCCTCTGATCAATCTGCATTAAAATTTCCTCCCTCGCCGTGTGTCGTCTTCCTTCTTTCTCAGAACTACGAGGCCTTCTTCGATGCCAGAGAGGACAACGCCGTGTATGCATTTCTGGGTCTGACCGCTCCCCCGGGCTCCAAGGTAAGCTTATGAACACACATGTTGATATGTGTCCTCTCGACGACCTGCATTCCTGCAGCTTGGTCCGATTTCCGGTTTAAAAAAAAAAAAAAAAAAAAAAGGGGGCTCATGTGCCCAAACATACTGGCCCCCGCGGTGTGATCTCCATACAGAAAACACACACATTACATAATACATCTGTTCATGATCTCCTCACACACCCCAGCAGGCCTCTTCTCCTCTTATGTCCGTCACTCACTGGCACCTCCTCTCTGCAGCCACGGGAACGGCAGGGAGGTGTGCCAGTTACCATAGAAACAGAAGGGGTTTTCCTCTGAGCCGTGGCAGGGGATATACAGTATAAAGAAATGTCCTCCATTTTATTGTAACACCCTCTCCTCTCTCCCCTCTCTGCTGCTCTCCAGGAGGCCGAGGCTTTAGCAAAGAAAGCGCAGCAGTAGCAGCTGGACGTCGTTTCTACCTGAGACCTCAGGCCTTCTCCCCCCCCCCACCTCCTCCATCCACCTCCACCCAGAACCTGGACCCAGACTGACCTGGAAGAGACCCAGGAAGAAAAAAAAAAACAAGCAACACTTCACTCAGCTTATATATATATATATGTGGACGGTTTCGATTTATGTTTTTTAATAATCTGTGTTCAGCTGTGCCTTGCCAGCTGTAGTGAAAGGAGGTATTAGAGCAGAGTATTATGGGTATCTAAATTCAGCTCTGCTTCCTCCCGTTAACCTCAGCCCGCTAAGCCTATTGGCCTCACGCCATGTCAATCAACCTTTAGCACGCCCGTGTAGCTTCCTATCCGACCATCCGACGCACAGAATATTCTAACGCAGATTCAGCAGAACGTCGTCCACGTTGGCGTCGAAGCATCGTTTATTTCACTCGTTTTAAATCAGAAGAAGTCTTAAAAACCGCACTGAATCCAATAACGTGCTACTGCCAGTTACGTCACCATCGCCAAAACTGCAGCACCAAGTTTCCATCACAGTCCCATTCGGTGTGTTTTATTTACTTTATATTGTCTTAATGCTGTTTTAATAGCAAACTTTTTTCTACGAGATGATATATGTTTAAAAAAAATAAATAAAAAAGTGATAATACATGCCAAAATGTGCAAGTCTGCAAACACAGAGGGATGTGAAAAGCAGTTTTTGTATGTGCTGTTTCTGTTTTTTTTTTTTTTTTAGGGGAAATTGGATAGCTGTTTGTTTTTACTATAAGAATCTAGTCTTGCGTTGTGTTGGTAATCCCCCCGTCTTAGATAGGTTGGTTCAGCGCCTTCACTCAAGTGAAACAGAAAGAAGAAGAAAAACCCGACTCGAAAAAGAAAAAAAAACAGTCAAATTTGAATTAAATTCTGCCTCCTCGTAACATTATCCGTTATTTTATATGTACAATAAATAATTTTAAGTTGACAGAATGTGAATGTTCTTTGAATGAATGCAACACACTC